AAAGGGAGGACTGAGGTTAATGTGAAATGTACCAAATGCTATGGAGAGTCAGTATTCGGACCTTGTCAGATGCTGTCAAATGTTGACTTTCTCTCCCTCCCAAATGAAAATACGGAAGTCAACTTGGAAGGGGAGTGAGGGAGAGTAAGGTGTTGGAGGTCTGAGGAGGATGCATCATGTAGATTGCCCAACACTGGCTAAACTAGTCTATTGCCTTCAGGGGCAGCAGAACATGCTTTCCTGTCACCAGTGTTGAATATTCAGCAAATGTCAGTACGTTGAATTTTGCGGGGTGGCTGCTGTCTTGTCATTTGCCTCAGGCAGCAAAATGTCTTGGGTTGGCTCTGAGCAGGGAGGCACTAAGGGAAGGATAGGGAACCTCAGCCCAGGGACCAAATTTGGCCCTCTAGGTCTTTCTATCTGGCTCTTGGGATGCTTCCAAGCTACACTCCACCCTGGCCCAGCTTTTCACCCTGAGGTTTTGTGCCTGCTTGCATAGATGAAAGAGAGGAGTATGCAAATACGTCAAGAAGTTAGCCCACTGTACAAAGGTGAAATTTAAATTTCTTACTCCGCCCACTGTAGCCTCTCCATCCCTGCACTATGTCTATGGTCTGGTTCACATTGAATCCTACCACTGCTATTTTTCTAGAAAAAGAAGTACCAGAAGTCACCACAAACACCTCCCTCATTCTCCTAGAATGGCAATGGCCGCCCACCTGAGAGGTGCCGGAACTGAGTTCCGGCTGAAAAAAAGCCCTGCCTGTTACCAAACTATCAGAACCTGTTGGGTAGGTGCTTACAACTTTAGTAGTTCCTACAACAGCAAGCACATGGATCAATGATATTGTCGGTGGTCACCCCCTTCAAAGTGAGGCCCACACTCACCCAGCCCTACAAAAGAGGCTCCTCATGAGACCGGAGGAACATCACCCGGCTGTGAGGAGTGCAGGCCGCTCCCTGAAAGGCTCTTTCCACCTGGCCTAGAGGGCAGGGCCCAGACTCACCAGCCCTACTGAAGAGACTCCTCATGAGGCAGGAGGAACATCGCCAAGCCGTGAGGCGTGGAGGCCGCTCCCCGCAAGGCCCTTTCCACCTGGCCTATGGGGTGAGGCCCACACTCACCCATCCCTACAAAAGAGGCTCCTCATGAGGCCGGAGGAACATCGCCCGGCTAGTGTTTTATTGTTTTATTGATTTAATATGCTGTAAAGTGCTTTGAGATTTTTTATTAAAAATATAAAGCAGTATAGGAAGGAAGGAAGGAAGGAAGGAAGGAAGGAAGGAAGGAAGGAAGGAAGGAAGGAATAAATAAATAAATGTCTCTTTGATCGCTCTTTTGAGGATTCCAACTTGCATTTTTCTTTCTTCAGCTGCTCCACTCATATTTTCATTCTATTCTCATTGCTGCGATGGTATGATTCATTAAGCCAAGTGACCCAAATGAGTCATCCGGCATTAAGCAACGTGCTAAAATTAACCCATGGGATGTGTCAAGCTTGGGTGGGACCAGGATTTGGGTGAACCCTTGCTCCTCTGACTGCAACCTACAGATCCCATTGTTTATTTATTACATACAGTGGTACCTCGGGTTACAGACGCTTCGGGTTTCGCATTTTCAGGTTGCAGACCGGAAAGGGTTACTTACGGGTTTTGCCATTTGTGCATGCACAGAAGCGCTAAATCGTGTCACGTGCATGCGCAGGCGCAGCGCTGCAGGTTACGAACTCTGCGGGTTGCAGACGTGCCTCCGTCACGGATTACGTCCACAACCCAAGGTTCCACTGTATTACATCTCCTTTTCCTCCAAATAACTCCATGTTATCTTCATAATAGCCCTATGTCAGGATGCTGTCAGCAGCTCCCGGCTGGTTGCCCAGGGAAGTATAACGACAAGGAAAAGTTTCTTATAGTCCTTTTTTATTTCAGTCTTTACAGAGAGAGGCTATAGAACCCAGCCTCTTGGATAATGGCGTTGTCCTGAGTGAATCTCCACCCCTCCGTCTCTCCCACTTCCTCATTCGTCATCCTCATCACCTCCTCCATGGGTGCCACTACATGCCCTCTGTCTTTGAGCTCTTTGCTCTCCTACTTTTAAGGCTCACCGGGTTCTGGGAGATGAAGGGTCTGGAATGCTTTCTAATGACAACGTGTCAGCCGGGTGTTGCTCTGAATCTCCCATGATTTCCCAACTTTCCCCCTCAACTGCCTCTGAGCTGTGACCTCCCCTGTTGTAAATCTATGCTGTCTTCCTCTTCCTCCTCCCTGGAAGGGTCAGGATGGGGAGGCGGTCTCCACCACTCCTCCTCTGCCCAGTCCCTGCCACCCTATGAGGTAGGTTTGGCTGAGAGTGTTGATTAGGCTAAAGTCTGAGGATGTGGGTTGAACCTCCAGTCCTAGTCCAACACTCGAATTGCTACACCCTCCTTCGCATAACCTGCAGAGGACCACCAGCCATCACAGATGAGCTTAGTACAGGGAGTCTACCTGACTGCTCAGATAACTCCTCAGTCTCATTTGCCAATGATTTCAACCCTTGATTGAAGTCAGCAACCCAGCTGAGTTTACACCAGGAAAATGGCAATGGTGAACTCAGGTGAAGTTGGCTCTGCGGAAGGAGTATGCAGTGAGCAGACTGGGTTTTAATGTTTATATTTCTGGTGGTGCTATATTTATTAGAAAATGTATTTTACTAGGAAGAAATTGTACTGAGGGAAAAGAAAACCTATGTCATGGGAATGCAAAATCTTGTGACTCCAGTTAAGGTCACGGAAATGCTGGATCGTTGCCTTGTTCATTTGTTAAATCCCTTTAAAAGTGTGTGTGTGTCATAGATAGGAAGGGTGGCAGCTGGAAGTTGGCTGGTTGTTAAGCTGTTGTTTTGCTGACTGTGGAAACTTCAAGCAGATGCTGTGTCCGCAGGATTTTGTGAGGACAAACAAGATATGGACGGATAATTTATGCACTGCTACGAAGGAGTTCTGGAAGCAAAAAGACCCTCTCTTGGGCTCAAGGGAGTGAAACACATTGCATTGGACTTAGTATACAGGTATGATACTGTTCTAAGGGACGCAGGTGGCGCTGTCGGTTAAAACACAGAGTCTAGGGCTTGCCGATCAGAAGGTCGGTGGTTTGAATCCCTACAATGGGGTGAGCTCCCATTGCTCGGTCCCTGCTCCTGCCAACCTAGCAGTTCGAAAGCACACAGTGCAAGTAGATAAATAGGTACCACTCTGGTGGGAAGGTAAACGGCATTTCCGTGCACTGCTCTGGTTCGCCAGAAGCGGCTTAGTCATGCTGGCCACATGACCCGGAAGCTGTACGCCAGCTCCCTCGGCCAATAAAGCGAGATGAGCACTGCAACTGCAGAGTTGTCTGTGACTGGACCTAATGGTCAGAGGTCCCTTTACCCTTTACCTTTATGATACTGCTTGTAGTAGTTGCCATCCTGCAAGTAAAAGACTCATCTTCAAAGTCTTGTGTGTGGAGTCGACTTCATCTCTAGGGCTTTGAGTACTGCATCACTCTGCATGACTCCAGGAAAACAGCTAGATCATTTAACTCCTGTGAGCATTAAACTTCTATCCCTCCCAAAGGAGCATTGACATTTGCCAGGGTCTTAAGCCCGGAAGAGGACCCCACCAGCCTAACCTTTCCATAGAGTATACAAGAAGATAAGATAGAGCCTAAGATAATTTGCATGTACAAAACCAGGGCTTTTTTACAGCTGGAACTCACTGGAACTCAGTTCCGGCACCTCTCAGGTGGGCACCATTGCCATTCTAAGACAACGAGGGAGATCTTCAGGGTGAGTTCCAGAACCTTCTAGAAAAATTGCAGTGCCTGGCACCAGCAGTGTCCGCCTGCCCCATAACAAAAATGGCGACAAAGTTGGCCTCTCAAGGAAGAGCATTTCATAGCTACTATAGAAAGGGCTTCTTCTTTCCATGACAACCTCTGGACCTCTGCAGGTGGCACATGGAGAAGGGCCTCGGGTGATGATCTCAGGGTCCAGGCAGGTACATATGGGGAAAGATGATCCTAGGGTTGCCATACGTCCTCTTTTTCCAGGACATGTCCTCTTTTTCATGGGTATGTAAAATGAGAGCCGTCATGGTGATCCACAGTTAAAAGAAGAAGTCGGCAAATGTGTCCTCTTTTTTGCTCTTCAAAATTTTGCAACCCTTAATTGCATGGGGTCCTGAGCTATATAAAGTAAAAAACCCACAACACTTTTAAAAATAAGCTCTGCCTCAAAGCATCTGTTTCTGGGTTTTTGAAAGCACACTTGCAGTCTGCTTGCCAAGCCGCTGCCTTCCTTAAAAACAAAGGCACCGAATTATCTTTAACTTAGACAGGTGGCATTGTATATAAAGAATGTGACCATATGAGAATGATCTGAAAACCTGCCATCAATAATACTCTTGGCATTACACACACTCCTATGCGCTAACAGAATGATGCACAGGTAAACTGTGGGGTTTTCTGTCATTCTAAATATACCTAACCAGGTGACAGGGTAGCTGTAAGAAGCAGATATGTTCACTTGTGGGAAAACCTGATTTAAGTTGTTCCCAGACATAGTAAAAGGGTGTTCTCTCTGTCTCTTTTTAACAACACACAGAGAGGTTGCACTATGCAAAATATTGCTCAAGGTTATCCAATCTGGCAAAAGGCTAACCGTCTAACCTTGGGATATGAACATGAAGTTTGAAGAGCATTAGGAAACACTTCCCCTGTTTTGCTCTCCTGAGTTATGATTGATTGCCATCAGGGCCCTTTGGGAGTATCAACAGGCATAATTCAAATATCATAGAAACCACAACATTGGTTCGTCTACTTCAACATCGTCTGCAGAGAATGGCAGTGGTTGCCCATGGTAACAGATGGGGGATTTTTCCATCACCTATCTGGTGATGCTGGAGGTTGAATCATCGAATCATAGAGTTGAAAGGACCACAAGTGTCATCTAGTCCAACCCCCTGCAATGCAGGAATCTTTAGCCCAACGTGGGGCTTGAACTCATAACCCTGAGATTACAAATCTCAAGCTCTATCAACTGAGCCTTCTGCCATTGAATTATAGCTCTTACCCAACAGAAAACTCACAGTGGGTCCATTAGTCATGATCTGAATGAGGCTTCTTCCCAGCTTCGCCGTTTGAATGGCATTTGTTGTTGTTGTTGTTTAGTCGTTTAGTCGTGTCCGACTCTTCGTGACCCCATGGACTAGAGCACGCCAGGCACTCCTGTCTTCCACTGCCTCCCGCAGTTTGGCCAAACTCATGCTGGTAGCTTCGAGAACACTGTCCAACCATCTTGTCCTCTGTCGTCCCCTTCTCCTTGTGCCCTCAATCTTTCCCAACATCCAGAGAGTCTTCTCTTCTCATGAGGTGGCCAAAGTATTGGAGCCTCAGCTTCAGGATCTGTCCTTCCAGTGAGCACTCAGGGCTGATTTCCTTAAGAATGGAGAGGTTTGATCTTCTTGCAGTCCATGGGACTCTCAAGAGTCTCCTCCAGCACCATAATTCAAAAGCATCCATTCTTCGGCGATCAGCCTTCTTTATGGTCCAGCTCTCACTTCCATACATCACTACTGGGAAAACCATGGCTTTAACTATACGGACCTTTGTCGGCAAGGTGATGTCTCTGCTTTTTAAGATGCTGTCTAGGTTTGTCATTGCTTTTCTCCCAAGAAGCAGGCGTCTTTTAATTTCATGGATATCTGCAAACCCTGCTTCAGCCATAAATCTTGCCTTTCTTTCTATGTATCGGGTAAGCAGCCTTCTTTTAAAATAAAATAAAATGCTGGAAGTATGTCAGCTCTCTCTCCCCCCCCCCACACTTTAATAACTCCCCCCTCCCCCCCAAAAAACCACCCTTCATTTTTCCCCAAAAGAAAAAGTGCAAAACTGGGAAATGGGAGGAGATTTCCGAATGGCATCACCGCCAGCAGCCAATCAGTGCTCTCCTCGGGTGGATTGTGCTGCAACCTTGGGGGACCCATTTTTCCAGAGCTCCAGCGTGGAAGGAGAAAGTACTGTTGGACTGAACACAGGGAGAACATGTTTTCCGTTTGCTTGCAGTGCTCTGGAAATCTCTTGTCTGCCTTCGCCTTTAGATGGCGCCACATGCTTCTCCCATACCTACCTCTCTGCAGGGCCCAGACAGGAAGGTTTGCTCTGCAAAGACCTGAGTCCACAACTCAAATCCATCAACAGGGCCAAGGCTGCACCAGGAAAAGCTTGTTTCTGAGACCTGTATTAACAACACTGCGTCGAAGTCCCCCCTGCCTCAGCCCTCATTCCCCCATGGTAACCAGTAGAAAGCCAGGTGAGCAATGCCACCCTCTGCCCTCAGACTTCTTTCCTGTTCATTTCTCAGTTTTCCTGCCTTTAAAAAAGGCGTTCCTCCTGCTGTCTGCCATGTGTGTGCATATGTCTGTGTATAGCACGCTGAAGTCAGAAAGGCACTATTTTCATTTGCTTTCCAAGACAGTAGCTGTATTTTTCTGTTGTCCCACCTCCCAAAAAACGTCCCTATGCAGGGGTCCCTTCAGATGTCTTCTAAAAGTTGTCCAGTTACTTATCTCCTTGGTTTGGGGGTCGGATAACTCCATACCCTCCAACATTTCTCTGATGAAAATAGGGACGTGGGTGGTGCTGTGGGTTAAACCACAGAGCCTAGGACTTGCCGATCAGAAGGTCAGCGGTTCATATCCCCGCGATGGGGTGAGCTCCCGTTGCTCGGTCCCTGCTCCTGCCAACCTAGCAGTTTGAAAGCACGTCAAAGTGCAAGTAGATAAATAGGTACCAGTCCGGCGGGAAGGTAAATGGCATTTCCGTGTGCTGCTCTGGTTCACCAGAAGCAGCTTAGTCATGCTGGCCACATGACCTGGAAGCTATACACCAGCTACCTCGGCCAATAAAGCGAGATGAGCGCCGCAACCCCAGAGTCGGTCACGACTGGACCTAATGGTCAGGGATCCTTTTACCTTTACTTAAGGGAAAGTGGGACATTCCGGGATCAAATCAGAAACCGGGACGGCTTCTGTGAATCTGGAACTGTCCCTGTAAAATAGGGACACTTGGAGGGTCTGGGCCAGGGGTCGACAAACAAAGCCCACTGGCCGGATCAGGCCCCATTGCCCTCAGGATCTGGCCTGTGGACTGTCTGTGGATCAGCATGGGGATTCTGTCCGTTTGGGCTGCACCATTTTCCCCCACTGCATCTTTCCATTTCCCCCGTCTCCCTTTCACACACCGTGGTGGTGCCTCTTCCCTCCCTCCTCCTGGCTTCTCCCTGCCCTGCCTAGAGGAGGAAGAGAGCTGGGCTGAGCTGGTTGAGCGCCATTTTAAGCAGCCCCTCTCTGGAGCCAGCCCTTTCGCACTGCTCATCTTCCCTCCGCCGCCGCCCTGGTGCTCCTGTGGGCCAGAGAGCGGAGCGGACAAGCATACCCAGATGCCTCTTCTTGTCTTTCGTGCCATGTAGTTCATCAGGAAAAGGAGGAGAGCGGCTCCTGTTGTCTAAGCGATCGTGTTTCAGGAAGCCACGGGGGAATTCCCCACTGCAGGGCTCTTCCCCAAAGCATGGGCCTGGGCTCACATGAATTAGGGTGACTCCTGCTTGCATTAGAATATGGGGCTCCTGCACACACCTTTCATTGTTGCTGCAGAGGAAATGTCAACAGGTGCAGTCTGCCTTCTCGTAGTGCCCCTGGCACGAGAAAAGTGTCACCTTCTGGAAGCTCCTCTCAGCAGCCTTCTCACAAAGTCCTCCTTTGCCTCTGGTCATCCCACAAGTAGTCCATGCTCTCCAACTCTCTGCACATAGAGATGAGGAAATCTGCCCAGGTCAGTTTCTCTCAGTGTCTTGTTTTTCAGTTCTGCACATCAGTCTGTGATTTTAAAAAAAAAAAAAAATCCCCAAGAAAAGTAATCAGCATTTAGTGCAAATTTCTTCTAAAATATATATATATATGGCATGGAATTTTACCTAACATAGTGCACTTTTTGGTATGTTATTTTCACTAATATATATATATTTCTATGCACATTTTACCCCAATATATGCATTTTTTTTGTACATTCCTTGGCTGGAGAATTGCACTGCAAACTATAGCATGCCCAATTCCCAGGTAGTGTGTAGCCTGAGGGCACTTTGCATTTCAGAAATCACTTCTACTGTCCAGAATATTATCCTACTCTAACCTGGCAAAGATTAACTATGCAATGCCAACAATTTCATGATTTGAAGGTATTTTGAAGGTCATAGTTTGAGGAGGGAGGGAGTATGAGCACCTTTTAAGAACCTTAGCAAAATCTCAGAGACTTATGGAGCAAATGAATGAAAATTAGAAATCAGACATTCTTTAAAAGCTACCCCTCTCCAGAAATATACACATAAGTTTAAAGTTTTCTTTAAAAAACTTGGTTTACTTGAAACTCCTTATTATCAAAAATACATACCATCATATAACCTCAACAGGCGTTGTAAGTGCCTGTGCAAATAGGAAAATTAAATAGGGAAATATCAATAGCAATCTAATTGGATATTCAAATATCTAAGATTTTGCATTGGTAATTGCAAGATATAGGGTTGAAACTCAATACCTCCCAATCGGTTGAAGTGTATGTGTATATACATGTTCCAAATGTAAGGTATGGAAGAATACAGATTAATACAGTATGTTTCTCAGAAGTAAATCCTCATGCTTCCAGCTGAACTTTCTCCAGGTTAGTGTGCAAAGGACTATAACCCTATATTCATTTACTTGGGAGCAAACCCCATTCAGCTTAGTGCAACTTAATTCTGAATAGAAATGTACATTATAGGCTTGTGCTATAAGGCTACAATAATAAATAAGAAATCAATTATTATTAGTAGTAGTATTAATATTACGTGGGGCTACCTTTGAAGGTGACCCCGGAAACTACAATTAATCCAGAATGCGGCAGCTAGACTTGTGACTGGGAGCGGCCGCCAAGACCATATAACACCGATCCTGAAAGACCTACATTGGCTTCCAGTACATTTCTGAGCGCAATTCAAAGTGTTGATGCTGGCCTTTAAAGCCCTAAACGACCTCAGCCCAGTATACCTGAAGGCAGGGGCATCTTACCCATAGAGGCTAGTGGTGTGGGGCACGGAAGCGCTAAGTTCTGGAGGGTGCCAGGGAAGAGGTGGAGGCTGGACGTGGTGCCTCCCAGCATCAGCTCACCTGCCTGCCTCTGCCATGCCACGCCAAAGGAGCATCACGCCCAGAGCCTCCATCTGACATGGCCACCACAGCACGAATGGCCCTCCAGCCACTACCCACCTCCTCCAGCCCGGCCGGCAGTGCTGTCCTCCCTAAAAAAAGGTTGAGAACTCTGGGAAACAGGGGAGGGGGGCGCCGGAGGGAGCTTTGTACTACGGTGCTGGATATGCCTAAGACGGCCCTGCCTGAAGGAGCGTCCCTACTCCCATCGTTCTGCCCAGACACTGAGGTCCAGCTCCAAGGGCTTCTGGCAGTTCCCTCACTGCGAGAAGCGAGGTTACAAGGAACCAGGCAGAGAGCCTCCTCAGTAGTGGTACCCGCCCTGTGGAATGCCCTCCCATCAGATGTCAAAAAAATAAACAACTATCTGACTTTTAGAAGACATCTGAAGGCAGCCCTGTTTAGGGAAGTTTTTAATGTTTGATGTTCAATCGTGTTTTTAATATTCTGTTGGGAGCCTTCCAGAGTGGCTGGGGAAACCCAGCCGGATGGGCAGGGTATAAATAATAAATAATAATAATTAGTAGTAGTACAGTCGACCCTCCAGATATGAACTTAATTCGTCCCAGGGGTCCGTACTTACCCTGAAAAGTCTGTATCCAGAGGCACCGCTTCTGCACACACACGCGGTGCGATAGAGTGCTTCTGTGCATCCACAAAGAAACCTGGAAGTATACACTTCTGGGTTTGCCGCGTTTGCAACCTGAAATTAACGTAACACGAGGTACCGCTTGGACTACTGCAATGCGCTCTACGTGGGGCTACCTTTGAAGGTGACCCAGAAACTACAACTAAAACTAATTTTAATGTAGTTTT